GTCACTTTTTCATGTGCTATCAAATTTTTTTAGGTCTTTTATACTCAGGGCTTATTCTTCCACTTTGCACTGCCAAGTTTTTGTTCTACTGCATTGTTTTTCTTTTTTTTTTTGCTATTTCTAGCAATATTTTGTCTATAGTGTTCATTTTTGTATAATTTCCTCTTATATCCTTACAAGTTCCTTTGACTAAAACCATGTTTTCTTCAGTTCCTTTAGAGTACTCTAGTATTCACACTATTCCTTAAGCATTTCTTGAATTGTTTTTGGTGCTTTCTTAGCAGGATTAAGGCCCATTTCAGATTGATGTTGAAATTAAAATTCAATTTAGTAATGAATGTTAACTAAGATGTTTTGTACCTCTTTGTTGCGTTTTCATTGTAACTGTTTTTTTCCCTCTTCCACTTTCAGTTTGGCTTCATCACTCAGCCAAGTTTGGGAGAGAGTGCCTTTGAGGAAATTATTGGCTCCCCTTGAAACTGCAACAGAAACCTTAAATAAATTCCCTTCCATATGTCTATTATTCTACAGAATTCCATATCTACACAAAATAAAATGGGAGCTGTCAACAATGTTAAAAACTGCAATAGGCAATTATGAGGACTTAAAAAAAAGCTATGAGATTTATCAGTTTACAAGGTTGTTGGTGACCTTGAAGACAGAAGATTACAAGGGGTTGAGTCAGTGATAAGGGTGAGCACAAAGTGAAAGGAATAATTCTTTCTAGAAGTTTGGCAGTGAAAGTGTACAAGCAAAAATAAGGCTCTGTATCTTGCGTTTCTGACATGAGTAACTTCAAATAAAAAAACTGGTCTCCATTAAAGAGAAAGTGAGAAGTTACATTTTCCTTACTATTAGTAGTTCTTTTAAGCCCTCTCTACTTTGTCCTTGATTCTAAGCTGATAAAATCAGACAGTCTTATTTTGGGCTAATAATGACAAACATCTGTATCAAGGCTGATTAGCTCATCTACAAGGTTAAAACTAATAGAAATGGGGCAGCTAGGTGGCACAGTGGATAGAGCACTGGGCCTGAAGTCAGGAGGACCTCAGTTCAAATCCAGTCTCAGACCAAACACTTGACATTTACTAGCTGTGTGACCCTGGGCAAGTTACTTAACCTCAATTGCCTAAAAACAAAAAAAAAAACCCTAACAGAAACTAGCTAATGTGTCTGAAGAGTAAGGGACTCCTTTTCAAGTCTTATAGAAGAGGGCTATTTATTTTCTTACAGGAATTTCCTTGGGGTCACATGGGTGCGTCGTTAATTCTAGGAAATTTTCTTGAATTTCTTTAGCTGTTTTTCTTTAACACTGCCCTTTAGAGTACTAATTATTATGAAGTTTGGGTGAAGGACAATAGTCTGAAGAGTTGAAAGGTTCAAATGAAGGTTTTTTTTTTTTTTTCAAAGAGGGGATGGAACACAGGGAAGGGGGAGAGGGAAGAGTAGGCCTCCTATCTTGTTGAGTTGGAAGTGCATCTGCCAAACATGGATTGGCCTGATTCCAATGCTAAATGGCATGGAAACCCACATTTTTTTTGACCTTGGCTGGTTTGCCCCTCCTTAAGATGGACCTTCATTTGCAGAGGCTCACCCAGCCAGATGGGCGTGGACATGGTGTGGACATCCAATCTGCTTCAACCTTATTACAGCTCAAAACTCTGGAACCCAAGAAATTCACCAGCCTCAGTCTCTCACACTACAACTTGAACAGCTAAAGATTTTTTTTTAAGATAAGGTCAGTCTAAGTCTGTTTGCATACATCAAGGAATGATCCAGTAGATCAGGAATAGAATAGAAAAAAGGATTTATTGAAGGAGTAGGCTATTGGAGGAGAAGGGAAAAGATAGGACTAAGGGCACAAACAAGAGATGACTATCTCTTCCTTAGACACAGAAGTGAAAGAGAGGAATTATAAACTTGTAGAGGAGTTCTGAAATATGGAGTAGAGAAGATGAGAGAGTTCATGATGGACAGCTGGATTTTCTTTAAAGTGGTAAGAGAGGTTGTCTGCTTTGAGAAAGGGAGTTGGCATGGCACTACAAACTTGAAGAGTGCAGAAGTTTGCAGCAGCAGTTAAGGGGACTGGGCTAGTCAATCCAGTAAGAATAAAAGGATTGGGATATGGCAATGAACAGCCAATTTTGGATTGGATTAACATGAATGTGAGGGCAGCTAGGTAACTCAATGGATATAGTGCAAGGCTGGGAGTCAGGAAGACTCATCTTCCTGAGCTCAAATCTGACCTCAGACACACACTAGCTGTGTGATCCTGGGGAAGTCACTTAACCCCATTTGCCTCAGTTTCCTCATCTGTCAAATGAGCTGGAGAAGGAAATGGCAAACCACTCCAGTATCTTTACTAAAAAAAACCCCCAAAAGGGGTCACAAAGAGTTGGACATGACTTAACAACATGAATTTGCAATGTGGTGGGTTTTCCTCCAGAACATTAGTTCCTGTGGAATACATGGATGTTGGAGGTGACCCAGGGTTTAAGCATGACATGAATGACATGGCATGTAGATACAGCACACAGGACATGTATAGGTGAATTAGTCAAGTTGAAAGGGTCATGATTTATAGAAGGAAAAGAGAGATAGTCAACTGCAACAAAAAAGGTTGGAGAAACCAGTGGTTACAGTGAAGATGAATGGAAAGACATGAGATTATTATTAAAGAGTTCAAAATCATACAGGTAGCACAGTGAGGTAAGAATAAAGATGTTAGGTCATGGGAGTTGGAGGCTGATAAACAATAGATGTCAGAGTTTATAGAGAACAGCAATTTGTATTTTGATATTTCCAAATATAAGTCTAGGGGTTTGAGGAAGAGAAACACTATGGTCCAAGTACTGAACTCCTTGAGAAAGAAGGCAAGTAAATGACAGAAATCGCGATGTGGACGGATGTAGTAAACAGGAGGCAAGGCTGTTAAGTGATGCTGAGAATAAGGATCTGGAAATGTCAACGGGGAGCAAGCAGTATGCCACCTCCTCCTCCTGACCAGTTTGTTGGAAGACATGAGAGAATGAAGGATTAATTAGCCCTGGAAAGTGTGGCCAAAGACGTCATTTGACATCAAGTTTTTGCGAACACATAACAATGTAAATTATAAAAGGAAGTTTGTTCCACATGGCACAATGAAAAGAGAAAAAGGAAAGGTACTGGGGAATGACACAGTTGAGCAGGATAAAGGAAAGACAGGAATAAGCATTTATTAAGTGCCTACTATGTGCCAGGCATTATGCTAAGCACTTCATAAATAATACTTCATTTGATCACAAAAACTCTATAAGGTAGGCGCTATCACTGCCCCTATTTTACAGTTTAAGGAACTGAGCTAGACAGGTTAAGGTACTTACCCAGGGTCACACAGCTAAGAAGTGTTTGAGGCTGTATTTGAACTCAGGTCTTTCCAACTCTAGGTACAGTGCTCTATCCACTACATCACCTACCTACCTGCTCTAGAGCAGAGAGAATATAAGCAGAGCTTTCAGAACAGCTTTTCATATCAGCAAATTGCTACTCTAAATAATGGGGATTAGGAGAGCTAGAGGTAGAGATTTCCTAGTCATTTCAGTGGAGAAGTATTAATTAGTTGGGGTCTCTGCCCTTTAAGGTCCTTCAGTAATAGAGGGTGGCATTAGTGAAAATATCTCTTTTTCACACACTGGGAAGGCTAGGGGTGCTACTGGCAGGGAGTTTGAGCTGGTGGTCTGGGTCCTTGGCCTAAACTGATATGTAATGGAGGGTTTGTAGCTACAACTTAAGATGGTAAAGGATAAGACATGCTTAGAAGACATATCATCACAAGATGACTTGGTATCTCAGGCCCTGTTGGGGAACCTCTGCTTGAAATAGACCTCTGTTCTTAATCCTGCTTTTCTCTCTGTCCCATCTGCCACACACCTTCTTTCCCTTACCTTTCTCTTGCCCAGTGCCCTCATGTTGTCTCGTTGTTGTACTCACTTCCTTTTTAGAAGTGTCCTCATGGTTTCCCAATTCTTCTTCCTATCACAACTTGTGTGGACTTTGTTCTATTTAATTCAACAATAATTTTTCAAACAATGACTGTATAAAGCACTGTGCTAGTTGCTTTAGGTCTTTGTTAGCTGACAAGTGGCTAATCTGAAAAATTTCTGCCCTGTTTTCATGAGTGTATATTTATTAGGTACCATACATACATTTTAATAGGGAATATCTGTAGATAATTTTTTGTTTAGCCATTCAGTTGTGTCTGACTTTTTGTGACCCCCTACTATCCTCACTATCTCCTGGAGTCTGTCAAACCTTAACCCCAAGTGTCTAAATCAAATTGTAACAAACAAATATCATTTCATCTTTCCTTGGAAACTATGTCCCTCTTAATGTAGCCCAAGATCCCATTAGCTTTCTTGGCTGCTATATCACACTGTTGATTCATATTGAGTCTGCAATTCGCTAAAATGTCCAGATATTTTTTCTGAACATGTTATCTAGTCACACGTCATCTTATTCCTGTGAAGGTGAGCTTTTGTATGACTTTACATTTAACTCTACTGAATTTCATTTTGTTAGATTCAAATTAGGATTTTTTGGATCCTGACTCTGTCATCCAGTATGTCAACTATTCTTCTCAGCTCTCTGGCACCTGTAGATGTGATGAACATAACACTGATGCCTCTATCCAAGTCATGATCAAAATACCCCCCATCATCCTCCTCGCCTCTCAACAAACAGCACAGGGCTAACCAAGCACAGATACAGAGTACTCTACTGAAAACCTCCAGCCAAGTTGATATTGAACTATCAACAATTAAGTGAGTCCAACCATCCAATCAGTTATGAATATTTCAATGGATTATGTCTAATCTACAGCTCTCCAATTCTCCATAAGACTAGTATGAGATTTTTGTTAAAAGCATTGCTAAAATCTAGGTAAACACTATTCACAATAGTCTCTTCATTTACTAGTTTAGTGAGCCTTTCTTAAAAAGGAAAAGAGATTAATTCAGCATCACCTGCTTTTGATGAAGCCAAGTAGTCTCTGTAATCACCACTTCCCAATCTAGATGTTTGCCAACCAACTCTTTAATGATTTGTGGCCTATATTTTGCAGAATCTGTTCTCTTCCCTTTTTTGAAAATTGGGACATTTGCCTTTCTCCAATCTTGTGTGACCGTTTCCATTTCCACGATATTTTAAATATAGCTAACAATGGCTCAGTAATCACATCTGTTAGATCTTTCAGGATCCAATGATGTGGCTCATTTGGGTCAGGTGACTTGAATTCTTCAAGTGGAGCCAGGTACTCTCTCATTATCTTCTTATTTATCTCGGATATCAATACTCTGGTTTGTCACCTCCCTCTCCCCTCATTGTGTTTTTTAATATAGAGGTCATTTTCCTTTGCAGAGAAAACTGAGGCCAGCTCACACAAATAAGCAAAGGGTAGGATTAGAAACCAGGTCCCCGGACTCCAGAACCAGTTCACTTTCTACTACACTCCCCTGACTCCAGAGTCAGTGCTTTTTCTACTGTACCAGAATGAGTCCCTAGACAGTTATCTTCTTGTCAAATTTAAATAGAGTATATAATCTCAGGTTCTGTCATTTCACCAGCACAAGAACAGTGAAACAGATCAAAGACCCAGTACCTAGTACATAGGCCTTGGGGAGTTGCTTGAGGAACACACAGGTTAAGTGGCTCAAGGTCACAACAGTTAATAAGTGTCAGTGGCAGGATCTGAATTCCAATCTTTCAGAATGCAAGCCCAGCAGTCCATCCATTATCATCCAGCCTTTTTATGCCTAAAAAATGGATAAAAGAAATCAATTCCTTGCAAATACAAAATGATTTCACCATTTGAACGCTACCCAAATTGGACTGACCAAATTCTTAATCTCACTTAGCAATCAGTATTCAATCAATGGGAATACAACCATGACTTAATCATTCTGGTAAATTGTGTCATCTTATACATATAGAGTTTCTAAAATATCACATGTAAATTACCTAAAAACAACTGTCAAGATCTCCCTTCTTCATTTCCACCTTTTAGTTTTCCTTCAAGACAGCTTACAAGTCCATGTTCTGCAAGAGGCTTTCCTACATCTCCTCCATTTACTAGTGCCTTCCTCTACTCTGTGTGTATGTTTTTGTACCTATCTATTTTCTTATTTTTCTCTCTCCCTTCCCTCCCGTTAGAATGTAAACTCCTCCAAGGCAGGTACTGTTTTTGCCTTTCTTTGCATTCCCAGCAGGCACTTAATAAATGTTTGTTGACTGACAAAGCATCTTCCTGTCAACAACTGTACAGAAGAGGAAAGAGAAGCTCTGATCAAAGGGATCACCTGCATATTCAGTGTTACAATGGATCTTGACGGTCATCTCTAATTCCCCACATTTTACAGCTGAGGAAACTAAGGCCCAAAGAGATTAGGTAACTTGCCCAAAAGTATATGACTACTACCTAAAAGGGTCTAGACTTAAACCGAGGTATCCTGAGTCCAGATCCAGCACTCTTTCCATTGTATCACGCTCATTCATTACGTGATTTTTCCATGGTTCCACAGCTTGAGGGTCTGAGACAGGACTTTATACCCAAGGCTCCTGCCTCCATATCCAGCCCTCAGTGCATTACACAACGATTCCTTTCTGCAACTAGTAATCTTAAGACCCGAGTCCTAGCTCTGCAATTGACTAATGGGCAAGTCTTTTATCACACATCTCGGTTTCCTCCTCTGTGGAAAGGAGCTAACAATATTTGCTCGACCTGCTCCGCAGGGTGGCTTTCGGAATCTTAAAGCTTTCTACAAACAAGGGCAGCTGTCATTTACACAACTAAGGCTTGGCTCTTCCTAATCATCTGTATAAAACAACCCACAAGGGCTCAACATTCGACAGTCCAAAGGTTACGCAAATCATACACGCTCGGAGCACAACACTCCTCCCAGCTTTTCTGAGGAGTAAGCGGCTTTTCTTTGCTCTGGGAATGCAGGTGCACAGGGCAGAGAATAAAGGCGGAGAAGGGAAACGAAGACAAAAAAGGGACGAACTTTCGGACAAAGAAAAACGTGGGAAGAAGTTTGAGGAGGGAAGTTTGTAAACCTAAAAATGCCATTATATTCAATTCAATTCAACAACGCATTAATAAACGGCTACTAAGTAAGTACTAGGCACTGGGCCACACGTAGAATACAAAGATAAAAGGAAGCAGCCCGGCTCTCAAGGAGCTTACATTCTAAAGAGGCAAAACAGCGCCTAACTAGCAAAACAAAGTACAAAGTGGTTTGGGGGTGGGGAGGGGAGGGCAATTACAACTTGGGCACGGTGGCTTGGGGGGGTGGAAGAAAGAAAGGGTAATTAGTAAGGGAGTCCACCAAGAGGTGGAATTTTTGTCTTGAGGGGAATAAATCGGATTCCAAGAGTCAGAGGCGAGGAAGGAGAGCACGGCAGGCATGGGGGACAAGCTGGGCAAAGGCACAGAGGCAGGAGACCGAGAGCTGTGTAAGAGGAACAGCAAGTAGGCCAGTGTAGGGCGTAAGGCGGAGTAACGTGAATCAGGCTGGAACCGAGTGATTAAAGGATTTAAATACCAAATGTGCGTAGTTTTAATTGTTTCCCCGGCGGCCGCCACGGCCGGGGCGAGAGAAGTGGGCCCAGGCCGGACCCTCTTCCTCCCCTGGTGCTTTAAGGTTCCAGGAGAGGAGGCGTCCTCATCCGGCTTCTCACCCGAAGCGCCCACCCCCTCCCTCGCGTTCCCCTCCAGGGCTGGGCCTGCCCCTTCTGGGCTGGGCCTGCCGGGCCCAGCCACCGACTCACCTGTGCTTCCAGGCACCCGACCTCCGCTCCCTCCCTCCTCCTCTGCGCTCTGAACAGCAGCCGGCGAACCCTCGCGCTTCCCATTCCCCATCCACCTCCGCTCCGCCCCGTCCCGCCCGCTCGAATCCGGAAGCGCCTCAAGCGTTCTCATTCTCCCTCCCTTCTCCTCCGCCTCTGTGTCGTCACTTCCGGTGGCAGCGCTTCCCCAGAGAGTGTGCGGAGCGAACGCCCGGGAGGGGGAGCCGCAGCCGCGGCGGAAGACAACAAAGTCCCTTCTGGGTCGTCGCTGTGGTGATCGATCTCCTCGGCTCCAGGGGCGTTTAGCCTTCCGACGTCCCGGCCCTCGGCTCGCTGTCTCGGCCTCTCCCTCTGGTCGGCAGCCGCGGCCGTTGTCGGGCGCCCGGGGTGAGGGGCCCTCCCTCAGCCTCCGCGAGGCCGGGGCCTAGAGCAGCTGGCGGGTAGCACGCCGCGTCGGGCCATGGGGACGCCGGCCGGCCCCTGAGCTAGGGGAGACGCCAGAGGGGGCCGGGCCGAGGGGAAGGAAGAAGGGGACTCGTGCTCGCGAGGTCGAGACCCTGACGCTGCGCCGCCTCTGTGTCCTCTCTTCCTCGCCCCCCGCCGGCACGATTCTGGAGCCCGACGGTTGTTGAGCCCCCGAGGCCGTAGCCTCCAGCAGCCAGCCCAGGAGCCAGTATGCCGTGGCCCTTTTCGGAGTCCATCAAGAAAAGGGCCTGCAGGTACCTGCTGCAGAGGTACCTGGGCCACTTCCTGCAGGAGAAGCTGAGCTTAGAACAGCTCAGCCTGGATCTCTACCAAGGGACTGGATCCCTTTGGCAAGTCCCCTTGGACAAATGGGTAAGAGCCACCGCGAGCTGAGGTGTGACATGGGTCTCCAGTGACCTGTTAGGAAATCTTACCCTCTTCCTCTCTTTCCCTCACCCTCAAAGGCAGAAATTGGTACGGTTAAAAAGGAGTCAGTTGGATAATTTGCAGGCCCCTTTCTTGAATCTGTTTTTCCCTTGTCTGACCTGGAATTATATATATATTCTGTTTCCTTCATATTGTAATGTATTCTACACGATAGGAACGGTACTTAAGTAAGAATTTGGGGGATTAATATTGGTAAAATATAGGATTTAGACATTTTGTATTGTTGGATACAAGGTATCATAGAAATAGGATGAAAGATGATCAATTTTCCTTACTTTGTGAGTAGGCTAATATTATAGACAGCCAAAAACTTTTTATTTACCAAAAGCTAACTTGACAGATGTTCTTGGCTGTTAACAGAATCCTCAACTAGAATTTCTTTTACTGTGATTATTTTTTACAAAACTTGATTATTACTTTTTAGGCCACCAGAGTTAACAAGTTGTGTGGATAATATTAGAGCTCTTTTTTAAGGATAGACCATAAAAATGGATGTTGCAGTTTTGGGGCATATTTCAAGTTGGCATTTAAAAGCTTTAGTTTGATTTACAGTATGTAATGCTTCATATATATTTTAACATTAAGTCACCGTGTACTTAGGATCATAAAATCATTTGTTGTTACTCAATGGTGTCCGACTCTTAGTGACTCAGTATGGGGTTTTCTTGGCAGTTTGCTTCTCACAGGGATTAAGGCAAACAGAGGTTTAAATGTGAGTATCTGAGGCTGGATTTGAACTCAAGTCTTCTTGACACCAAGCCCCCTGCTGTATCCATCGAGCCACCTAGCTGCCTTGTAGGATCATGTGAGGATGTATGCTTTTTAACTTTAAATTCAATCTTTGGCTTGTCACAAAAGAATAGAATAACCCTCCCTCCCACCCTACCCCTCACCTCCATTTATTACACAAGTTTACGATCTGAAGAAATTTTGGTTCATTGTTTTATAGTTTTTGTAACTGAAAAGCATTTTGGAATTTATTTTATTTAGAAAACATCCTGGATAAAATTGAACTCATCGAGAGTAGTTATATGTTGCCTGTCTTCACTGTTTTATATTTCTATTCCCTGACAATTTTTCTATCCTCAGTCTGAAGACCATTTTTGGGAAGAGAACAGAGAAACAAAATAAAAACTGAGAAGCTTCACTTTTTCCATTGTCATTCATTATCTCATTTGCCCTTATGAATGGACTTACCTTTTTTTTCTCTATCTTTTTCTTACCCCCAATATAGCTAAAAACATGCCATTACCCCATTGTTTTTATTAGAGCCAACAAGGTATAGTGGTATGGTGCTGGACTTGGAATCAGGAACATTTGGATTCAAATTCTGCTTCTGATACTAACCTTTGGCAAGTTAGTCCACTCAGAGTGTTTCCTTATCTGTAAAAAAAAAAGTGTTGTTGCGAGTTTCAAATGAGATGTTATGTAAAGAATTTAAAAAACTTTGGTGTTATATATAAATTTCAGGTCTGATTTTTTTTTTTGAGGGGGATAATGAAGGGACAGAATTGGAAGCTAAAAAAAGTATTTTAAGTAATCAGTTTTAGTATGGTTCTTCCTTTCTCTTTCTCTAACTCAAATTATAATATCTTTTCACTTCTTATTTCTACATTACTTCCTTTGTAAATATATAATATCTCCTTTTAAGTAGTGATGTGATACAGGTATCTAGTGACCAGTTAGACTATTTTCATTTCTTAAAATGCTTTACCTATGCTATGTCACCTCAACTCATTGTTAGAAACAGGCCAAGGACAGATCTCTGGGGCACTCTTCTAGTGACCTTCTAATTCTCCCAAGTTTTAAAGCCCTTTCCTATCTAAATTGCTTGGTATTTTTTTTTTGTACTGTACATACTTATTATAGATGTATTTGTTGTATTTTCTAATAGAGTGTAAGCTTCTTTTTAGAATGTCTGCTCTTGAGAACAGGGTCACTTTCATTTTTGTTTTTCTACCTCCAGCATCTAGCACATCACCATCAATACAGTAAGTAGGCATTTAATGAATACTTGTTGATTGAGCCACTAATGGCTACTCCTTGGGTCTAGTCTTCATTTACTTCAAAATCTATCTGATTGTACTCACATATAATTCATCTCTCTCCATCTTATTCATAAGCATAGTTTGCTTGTTCAATGTCTATACCACTCCACTTAGCTACCAGTCTAGTGTTTTGGCTGGATTTTTTGTTTTGGAACTCAGATTTCATCATTGTGGAGGTAGTATAAGTGTGAAGTCTCCCTCTGTTAATGCAGATTGGCAGGTATCACTTACAGTCTTAATTGCCTGAGGCCTTGAAAGGTTAAATGACTTACCTGTGATCACATAGCTACATATCAGTCAGGACTTGGAGCCAAATCTTTCTAACTCCAAGACTTTCACTATGCATACTATTCCATGTTGCCACTAACTATCCTCTCAAAAAAGGAAATGAGATGAATCTAGAATGATTGGTTCTTGGTGAAGCTATGCTGGCTATTAGGGATTACTGCTTCCCTAGGTGGTCACTAACCGTTTTCTTAACAGCGTGCTGTAGAATTTTGCCACAAAATTAGCCATATTCATAGCTCTATGAAAATTGGTGCCTTTGAATTCTCCATTAGTTTTCAAACAACATGGACATGGACAATGGTTTAACACTTATATCTGCTAATTCTTTTAGTACTCTTAAGACAGAGGTTCTCAAACTTTTTTCTCTTCAGTGCACAATATTCTTTGCTGTGAGGAATTGTGGAGAATTAGGAGACTTGCGAATGAACAGGCAAATCAAAGTATAACTGCCATGTAGTTCCCAGAAGACTCAGGAATGAATATGGAATTGTGATTCCAAGTGTAGGTTCTGTATAAATCATAGCATAAAAGCAAAACTCAGCACAAAATTGCTTTAAGAGGTAGTTTTTCTGTGCTTGGTTACTTGAATGCATTGAGAGTAGTTATATGTTACCTGTCTTCACTGTTTTATACTTCTATTCCCTGTTGATTTTTCTGTCCTTCTCAGTCCAAAGACCATTCTTGGGAGGAGAACAGAGAAGCAAAATAAGAGCTGAAAAACTTCACTCTTTCCATTGTCATTAATTATCACATTTGCCCTTATGAATGGACTTATCCTTCTCCCCCCTATCTTTTTCTTACCCCAATATAGCTAAAAACATGCTGTTACCCAGTTCTTTTTATTAGAGACAGCAAGATATAGTTGTGTGGTGCTGGACTTGGAATCAGAAACATTTAGATTCAAATTCTGCTTCTGATACTAACCTTTGGCAAGTTAGTCCACTCAGAGTTTGTGTCTTTATCTGTAAAAAAAAATTGTTGTTGTGAGTTTCAAATGAGATATTTTGTAAAGAATTTAGAAAACTTTGGTGATCTATATAAATTTCAGTTATCATCATCATCCTCCTCCTCTATTTCCTCCTCCTCTTCCTTGTTATCTCTATCAGTAGCCTCCTTTCTTTTCTTTATGTTAGGAAACTAAAATGGTTCTTACAGGACTGTGTAAGGAGTTATATATTTCAGTCATAAGTCCCTTCTCACTCTTAATGACATCTTTGAAGTCAGATTTACCTCTTTGCATTAGGATATCTAGTTTATCCTGTTTATTAAGTCTTATTTGTGTGTTTGTGTGTGTGTTTAATGGACATATGAGATTGGGGGTCTAATAGCTGCATTTCTTCCTGGATCTTGTCTCTTTTGAATTAGTAGTACCCTTCTGCTTTTCTTTCTCCTTAATTGTACGTATTGTTCTCAGTGATATTCCAAGAATCTCATAACCTTTTGTGGGACGTTTAAAAGATGGGTAGGAATTCAGTCATTGGAAAGGAATAAGGAGCACATTCTAGGCGTAAAGATTGGAAGGCATAGAGCAATTATGTGGGATTGAGAATAATATAGTTTGGCTAGAGCTATATGGAGTGGAATAATATAACTCAAGACTGAAAAGATAGGGGAGTGCAATATTGTGAATGGTTTCATATGTGAATTGAATGAGTTTGAACTTTGGCAGTAAGATAATAGATTAGAACCTAGGTGTTCTTATTTATAGTATGCCTATCTTTCTACTATACCATTTTTATATTTATTTATAAAGTATTTATGAAGGTGTCCTTAATATCTTCCAATTTAATTCAATATTCATAGTAAAGAGGTATTAAATATTTTAAAAGCTTATTACTTGAGATTGTCATTTAGCTGAATGTGTCAAGGTTCTTTGAGGATACTCAAGATAAAGTATATAATCAATCAACATTTATTAAACTCCTGCTCAGTGCCAGGCACTGTGCTAAGTGCTGGGGATACAAAAAGAGACAGAAGAGGTCCTGCCCTCAGGGAGCTTACAATCTATTGGAGGAGACCCGAATGCAAATATATACAAAGCAAGCTATATAAAAGATTGATAGGAAATAATTAAAAGAGGGAATGCTCTGGAATTAAGAAGAATTGGGGTAAGCTTCCTGTAGAAGTTGGGATTTCAGTTGGGACTTAAAGAAAGCCAGGGAGGTCAGTAGTTGGAGAGGAGCAAGGAGAGCATTCCAGGCCTAGGGGAGAGCCAGAGAAAATGGAACCAAGAGATGGATTGTCTTGTTTGTGGAACATCCAGGAGGCCATCGTCACTGAATTTAAGAGTATGTATTGGGGAGTAAGATGTAAGAAGTCAGGAAAGGTAGGGGGGTGCTAGGTTATAAAGGCCTTTGATTGTCAAACAGGCATTTTGTATTTGTTCCTGGAGGTAATGAGAAGCCACTGGAGTTTATTGAGTAGGAGAATGACATGATTGGAATCACTTTGGTGGCTGAATGGATTGGGATAGGGAGAGACTTTGAGGTAGGCAGAACCACCAGCAAACTATTGCAGTAATCTAGGCATGAGGTGATGAGGGACTGCACTAGAGTAGTGACAGTGATATAGTTTGGGGTGCCAGGAACC